TGTTTCCTACTAGCTGCTCTGTTTTATTTGACTTACAAGCTTGCAGAAAAGAAGGGGCTTTATCTGGTTCGCCTTGGTATCACCAGCTTCCAAGAAAAGTCTTGGCGTGTTCTGGAGACTCAGTGGTTCTCAGTTATTCTTGGGATGACCAGTGGTTTCTGGCGTCTCTTTAGAAGCCCACCTTAGGAGGGTCTCCTTTGCAGTTGGCTCTCCCACCAGCCAATCCTTCCTAGACACACCCTCACGGACACACCAATAGCCCTTTAATCCTCAGCCTCTCTTAATCCAATCAGGCTGAGAATTCCAATTAGCCATTATAAGAGCCAAGAGCCTAGATCAGGAACCTGCTCAGGATCTTGCTCTTGGAAAACTCTGAACCTGGAAGAGCACCCACTTTGGAGGCTGGCTTTTCCTGATGGCCTCCTGCAGGCTCTCAGCTCCTCTCCCTGGAGCCTGAGGCAGGGACGTGGTCCCCAGGGATTGTGAGCAAGCATCCGGGAGAAGGGCAGGCAGGGGACCAGGCAGCAGTGTCTGGGCAAGGACGTGTCCGGCCCCTGGAGGGGTCCTGCCCCCTGATCCGTGTGGGGCCCGGGAGCACCGCTCCTGTAGGGCAAGCCGCTGCAGCCTCATGCAGCCTGTGTCCTTCAGTGGGCCTGTGGGCTCTCCAGGGCGGTGGCCCGGGAAGGAGTCCTGTTGGGCCCCTGGCTGGCCAGAAGACAGCAGGAAACCTGAGCAGCCAGCACAGAGAGGCAGGGCTGGTCATCAAGAGCGGTGCTGGGCCTTCCTTAGGTAGCAAGTTACTCACAGTGACCCTTGGAGCCACTTCCCTGGAAAAGCAGGTTTTGGGTTTCATTTCCTTGGTGGGGTCAGGCTACCCGAGCCCCCGGCCCTGTGGGACGGCCGGAGAGATGTGGACCATATTCTTTTAAAGAGGCTGAAAGCAGACCTCGCCAGCCTCTCTCCTACGTGCCCTGCTCTGCACCGTGGGAGGACAGTCCGGGGAAAGGTCTCTGGTGCTTCTGCTTATAAGATGGGAGGCAGTGCAGGGGACCCGCGGTGATTGCCTCCGAACAGTGGCTGCTGCTCCTGACAGCTCAACCCCAAATGTCCGCAGCAGCTACTCTGCACTCTTTCATGTTTACGTCATTGGCCACAGTCCAGGGGTCCGTGGGGCTAGCCTCCGTTTCCCCACTTAGCAGATGGGGAAACTGAGGCTCGCTGCCACCCCATGGCCTGAAGTTTGATATCACAGTCTCCCACCCATTTCCCACTGCCCTTCCCCAGGACAGAGGAGGACAGCACACCTGGGGTCTGGGTCTCCCTTGCTCCCTTGTAGGCATGTTCCTTCCGTCTTCCCAGGTCCTGCCCAGCCCAGCTTGCTGACTGCCCCCCTCTTCCTTGGCACATGGCATCCCGTCCCATCCTCTCAAGGACTGAGCGCTGCCCTCCCTGGCCACTCTCCCCCATGTTACTTACCGCGGGGCACGTGGTGAAACCAACCAGAAACCACAGAACCCATTTTGTGTCCTGAATGGGCTTCCAGGTTCCCTGCCCACTAACCCCCAGCACCGAGGGACGGAGGGAGGGAAGGCTCGACTCTGTCCCCAAAGGGAAGGGAAGTGGTTTTGAATGACTCAAACAAGGGCTTGTGGAAGGGTGCCAAGTTCAAGCTAGTCCACCCACGAGGTGGCAGAGCTGGACATGGGCCTTCAAGCCGGTGGAAGAGGTCAGTCTCCTTTCCTGCTAAGGGAGCAGGAGGCAGTGGAGTAGTGCCCAGGCTGGCCTCAGGAGACTGGTCCAGGCTTTGAGGCTGGCCAGCTGTGTGACCTTGGGGACGTCCCTGGGGAGAGGAGTCAGACCCTCCACCAGCCCTCTCACCCTACCTGGCCTTTTGTGCTTCTGTGACTGTGCCCCCTGCGGTGCCCAGCCTTCCTCTCCCCTCCTCCTAGCTCCTTCCTGCCGCCTGCCTGGGGGACCAGCTCTGGCTGCTGGCCCTGCACCGCCCACCTCCCACACAGTGGGAGCGAGCGCTGGCCTGAGGATTTGCTGAAAGAGCAGCACTGGGTTGGGACCCAGCCCCTGCCCGCAGCCGCCACGCAGCAGCGTACCCAGCACTGCCGCCCACCACCCCACTCCAACTCTTCTGGTCAGGCGTGCACTGTGCCACCTCTCACAGTCCTTGCAATAACCTCTGCAGCTGAGGAAACTGACTCAGAGACACAAAGTGCTCCTGCACGGCCACCGAGCTGCTAAGTGGCAAAGCCGCGTGGAAGGCAGATGTCCTGAGCCCCCGCTCAGGGATCCTGGAGTGGGAAGTGGGTGTGTGCTGGTCAGCTCTGCTGCATCACAGACCCCCCCAGAGATCTTGTTCAGGTGACAGTGAGCCAGCTGTGGCTGCCTGCAGGTGGCCGTGGATCAGCCTCTTCTCTGGGTCCTCTCAGCCTCAGGTCCAGGCTGAAGGCCGTCACTCGCTGGGACGGGCCAGGTCCATTCCACAACAGAAGGGACCATGCACCAAGGAGTGGTGGCCTTCCACCCTTCTTCCCAGAGGCCACACCTTGCAACTGCTCACACCCTGGGCAGAAGCAAGGACCTGGCCAAGAGCAGGTGGGGGGTCAGGGAGGTGCTGTCCTTCCAGAGCGAGGTGGGGGGGCTGGGGGTGGGAATAAAGATGCACCTCCTCCAGGCCTGGCCACATCTGGCCTGGGGCTCCATCCCTTAGGAGTGTGGGCATCTGCTTCACCGAAGCCCACCCTGCCCAGCTTCCTCGTCTATATAATCGGCCGAAGCCTCAGCCCTGACCCGTCCAGCGCGGCCGTAGTCCAGCACCCCCGGCCGGGCTCAAAGGCAGAAATCGCTCTCCTGGCAGCTCTAGATCGGACACCTGGAATGGGGGCGTCAGCAGGCGGGGTCTGGCGAGGGCTCTTCCTGGCCTGTTCTCACCCCCCTCGCTGGCCTTTCCTCTCTGCCTACAGCAAGAGATCCCCAAGGGTCCCCGGATCACGGGATTCAGCCTTTTCACATCATGACCTCATTCACCCCCTTTCTGAGGCCCTGTCTCCAGAAGCAGTCCCCCTGAGGACAGGGACTTTGACCTGGGGCTTGAGAAGGGACGCACAGGCAGGTCCTGCTTCTTGGTGGAGCTGTGATGGTGTCGGTGGGTGAGACACTTGGAGGAAGCTCTCCCAGCACGGCCCGTCCCTTGCCGAGAGCTGATGCGGCCTCTCTGCAATGGTGGCGCCTCGTGGAGTTAGTGTCTACCCCCTTGAAATCCACCCTGGTTCATGGCACAAACTGGGGCTCAGAAAAGAGAATTTCTGACTCGTTCTGGGAAGCATGAGGCGACTGTCGGGACCCAGCGGGGTTGGAGGGACCCTGGGCTGTCCCCTAGCCACGTTGCTCTGCAGCCCTGTGACCTGGGGCACGGCCTTGTCTGACGCCAACCAGGCTCCGCACACTAGGGCACAGAATGCTTTGCCAGCAGAATCTCAGCAGGTTTTGTTCTCCTCCGACCTCTTGTGCCTGCTCCACAGGAGGAAGTGGGGCATGTTCAGGCCAAGGTCGACCCAGGGAGATCTGTTTTACAAAACCCGTCTCAGGTGCTCCAAAGTGACAGTGCGTCTGCAAGTCCCCTCCACAGGTCCTGTGTCCCCCAGCAAGGCACAGTGACGACCCTGCGTGGCAGGGCTGGGATGGAGGGACCCTGCCCCCTGTCTGGGCTGTGTCAGTCCTGCCGGGAGCCTGAGTGTGGTCGTGAACTTGGGCAGCGCCTGGATCCCAGCAGCGGGGCTAGAAACCCGACTTCCCTCCTTGTGTTCTGCCCCCACCTCTGGCCTGGCCTGGGAGGAGCTGTGTCTGAGGCCCCCGTCAGCTGGGAGGCAGATGAGGGGACAGTCTGCTGGCCTTCCCATGTCCTCTGCCTGGTGTGGCCGGGCGAGGGTGACCTTAGACAGTCCCTCATTTACCTTGACCCTCTGAATGGCCCAGGGTTTAGCCCCAGCATCGTCCCTCCCTTAGGGATGAGGAACCAGGAGCAGTGACAAGGTGGGCAGCCCCTGAGCGCAGCCGGGACCTTGAGCCAGGCCGCCTGGCTCCTGAGCACCACAGTAACGACGTCAGTGTCCGGGGCCCCGCCACGCAAGGCCATGGGCAGGCGGCAGGCAGTGAGCTCAGGCTCGCGGCCGTGGGGGAGTCCAGGGGCCTGGACCCTTCAGAAGTCCTCTCCTCATCCCCCCTGGAGGGAAGGCACAGGACACACCTTGTCCCTCTCAGCCTGCCAAGACCAGTCGCCCCCGCCCCGTGCTCAGACCCCAGCTCTCCCCCTCAGCGGGGCGCGTAGCTGCCTGCTTCCTGCCAGTTGGAGTATCCCTGCCTGCTCCTGCCCCAGGGTGACCTGTGCCTGCCACCAGCCCTGTTGCAGGCACCTCTGTCGGGGGAGCGTGGGGACTTGGACCCCAGTCCCGCCCTCACTGCCAGGAGCCAGCCAGTGCTCAGCCTCCCCTGGCCTCCTCCCTGCAGAGGGGAGGCTGGGCTGCCCCTAGGGCAGCTGTGAGCTGGGTGTGCATGGACGGGCTCAGCCAGGTGCCCGGGAGAGGGGGCACGCTCTCCACCCGTGTTCTGTCTGCTCAGCTTGTCACTCCCCCCTCTGGGGACAGCTAGGCTCCCTTCCCTCCGCCAACCCCAGCTTCATAGGTTGGGTGACGCCCTTGGGGTGGGCACTCCAAATTAGCATTTCAGAACAGGAAGTGGTCTCGGAGCTCAAGTGTGCAATACCAGCTTTCCTGTTGTCTTTGGGACAGGAAGTGTGAATGGCAGGCTTGCCTGCTCCCGCCCAGCGCTCTTGAGGTGACTGTGTTCTTCTCTCCAGGGCTCCTGATAGGGCCAGGCCACCTCACTAGCAGAAAACCTTGACTTGTCTGTCTGTCTGTCTGTCTGAGTCGAGCACATGGTAGAAACTGTCTCTCCTGGTGGTAATTCTGAACATTTCATTTGCTTTTCAGATGAAGACACTGAGGCTCAGAAAGGTTAAGGAACTTCACTGAGGTCACACAGAAGGTAAGTAGCAGAGCTTGGATTTGTACTCAGCTCCCTTTGACTCCAGAAGCCGTGCTCTTGGATTGCCTTATTTCTTGGCCTAAAACTGTGTTGGACTGATCGTCCCCTTCCACCAAAAGATGGACTCTCCACAGGGGACACCTGGGACTGTCCTGTTTTGGTGAGCTCATGCAGGCTTCTGGGTGGACAGGGAAGAGCCCCAGGGCTCAGAGCTGAGAAGGGGGTTGTACTAGACACAGGTCGCCCTGTTCCCCATGGGTATCTGCTCAGGAATGAGCCCCTGGTGGCTAATAGAGGCCCAAGTTTACCCACCCGAAAAGTCCCTCTGAGGATCCAGCCTCTCCAGGAACCGGCTCACAGCGGGGCCAGGTTTCTGCTCATGTGCCATTGGCCTCATGCTGCCCGGCCACAGGAGCCCAGAGGGCAGGGCCTGCCTCCCTCACTGGCCACAGGGTGGTTTCGTTGGATTTTGGGTTTTGTTGTTTTGGCAAAAACCAGAGGAAGTCCCTGGGCTGGGTCCCGCCGTCCCCCACCCGCCCAGGATGGCCGGTCTGTCCGTCCGCTCAGCCACGAGGTGAAAGCCTCCCACACAGGGTCAGAGACCAGAGTCACTGGCTCCCGCGGGACGCCGCTGTCCAGGCTGATTCGTGGTGGTCATGATGGTCACTCGGTCCTCCATGCGAGGGCTCTGGGGCCCGAAGGTGACCAAGGTGACCGCTGCTGGTGATGCACAAGCCGGGAACAGGCTCTGCTCCCCGGATCCTGAGGCTCTGCTGCGTGGTGGCCGTCTGCCTTTGGTCCACAGTGTCCGCGAGGGCCGTGCTCAGCAGGGGCCGGGTGGTGAAGTCATTCTGGGGGCTGAGAGCTGGGGCCGGGGGCAGGGTTCTGAGGCAGGGTGGCCAGGCCTCTCCAGGGAGGGCATTGGGCAGAGCCATGAGTGCAGGGAGGGAGCCAGCCCCGTGGATTCCTTCCGTGATTCCTTCCGGGGAGGGCAGATTGCTGCACAGGGAGCAGTGTGTCCTAAGGCCCTGAGGCCGGCGCACACCTAGGGTACCATCCCACGCTGCTTCTCTGGTTGCCTCGGCCCTCCACCTGCACAGCAGCTCCTCCTCTCTCTATTTCCTCCTCCTGTCATTGCCAAGGGCCTGTAGGAGTGTGGACAGAGTGGAGGCTGGGTTCCAAGAAAACTCAGGCAGTGGAGCAAGGAGAGCAAGGTGCCTCTCTAACAGGAAGCTGCTTGTCTTAATCCCCTGCAGCACCTTGTGATCCACTGTTTCAGGCCCATCTTTCTAAGCAGAGCAAGAGCCTGGATTCGTCAACCACAGGACAGGCTGCCTGGCTGACCTCAGGCTGGCCTCGGGGAGGGAGGCCTGGCAGGCAGAGTCCAGGGGGCCAGTGGGGTGCAGAGGCGTGCAGACCTGTCCTGATGTGGCCATCAGACTGAGGCTCTGGGTGGTGGGCTCCGTTCTGCCCTCTGGCAGATGGCGGTGTTGGCACCTGGAGGCTCCTGTGGGCAGCCCCTGGGGCTAGGACGCACTCAGGGAGTTAGGGGCCCACGTTCTGTCTCCGCGCCTCTGCAGTCCATGCACAACCTTGGGCTGATCCTTCCCCTCGCTGAGCCTCAGAAGATGATGCAGAGAGGTGGAGGCATCCATGTGTTTCCCTGGGACCCCGAAATGCCATTAGTCTGGCGTCCAAGCCTCGGCAGCAGGCTTCTTCGTCGTCTCCCCTTGGGTTTGCAGAGCTGTGCGGAGAGGCCCCCGTGAGTGGGCACTGCCTCGCAGTCCTGCCTTGGCTGCCCAGAGCTGCAGGCCCCGTCGCCTCCCCGCCCGGGCTGCGGCTACACAGCCAGAAACTCATTTCCGCAGGCAGCAGAATGGCTCTTTCCTCGGGGCCCAGAAGGGCTTATTAAGCCTTCCACTAACTGAATCTCATTCAGCTGGAAAAATAATAATCAGAAAGCAATTCTGCCTGGTTACTGGTCTGTGAGCTCCTTCAGGTTTCTCATAAGGAATGTTCTAAAACCTGCAGCCCTGGGAGGTGCGAAGCCCAGAAGGGCAGCTGGTCCCTGAGGGGCAGCCTGCCCAGCGGTCGGCCGCGCTCCGTCCTCTGCGACCACCGCTGGGTCTGCCCTCTGTCCATCTACCTGATATCACGTGGGCCACCGAGAGGAGCGGGCAGGGGCATCCTGCGGGGAATACAGCACTGAAGACCCTGTGTGCCCGCGCCCCCAAGGACAGCGCGGCTCCACCCGAGCTCCTTCTCGGTGGGTCGGAGTGCCCTGGGCTCAGCCCCTCGCCATCACAAAACTTAAACACGCAAAAGTGTCTGCTTCTCCGTGTCGTCTGCTTTCCCCAGTATCTGCCCCAGGTCATCAGCTCCACTGGGCGGTGTTCACTAGCCAGGGCGGACATCCCTCCCCCTCAGTCAAACTCCACTCCTGGCCTGTCCCCCAGGGACATCCGACTCGTGGGAATCCTGGAAGGAGGAAGAGGGCCAGAGGCCGGGCGGGGTCCTGGGGCAGGGTGCTCAGACGGGAGGTCACCCGGGGAGGAGAGGGATGGGAAGTCATTCCTTCAATGGGGCCAGACCACCCAGAGAACAGTGCTTTACTGTGTGGAGAGTGGAGGAGTCTCGCAGCTGCCGCATGAGCTTCGGGTTTTGTTCTCCGTGTGGAGGGGCACAGCCTGACCCTGCTTGTGTGCACCGACCAGCTAATCCCCCATCCCGGGCTGTTTCATGGCAGCTGGCAGCAGACACAAGACCCCTGCCCCTGAGGCCAGGGACTTGCAGGCACTTTGCACTCACTGTTCTACAGGTGGCCTGAGCTGCTTCCCTGTGTCCCTCAGTCCCGGGGGTCTGGCAGAAGGCCGAGATGGACGCCTGCCATGCAGGGGCTGCAACGTGGGCCACTCTGGCCCCACCTGGGGACCCATCTTGTGGTAAACAACAAGCAAGCTGTTTCTACTTGGAGGAGGCCTGGCCTTGTGGCGGGCCCCTGGGCCCTGAATGCCTCCAGAAAGACCTGCAGGGATGGGAGAGGGAGGGTCTCCAACCACAGGCAGGCACTGGAAGTTCCACTGCGACACTTCTGCGCACAACCTTGGGCTGTGGGGTTGGACCAGCGGCCATTGCTGAATTTCTCTTAGTCTCTTCAATGGGCACAGTGCCTGCCTTCCGGGCAGTCCTTAAAGGCAGGGTGTGATCACTCTTCAGGGAGCACGGTGGGGACGAGGGACTCAGCTGCATCTCCGTTCAGCCCTGCATGATCCTGTCCGGTGGTGGTGGCAGCTGGTGAGGGGTTCCAAGGTGGGGGCCATGCAGAGGGGCTTCTCCGTGGACTTGGCATTGGACGCAGCATCCTGACTTGAGTGAAGGACAGGCCCTGAGTCTGTGGGAAGGGCATTCTGGGCGGGGTGGAGAGTCCACACATGGTCCCCGGGCTTGGGAGCCTGAGGACCAGCCCAGAGGCTGGTGTGGCTCAAGAGGGTGGGCCAGCAAGGCGTGGGAGGCAGTCCGACAGAGGCAGGGGCTGCTTTGTGTAGGTCTCGCAGCTGCCCCGTGAGCTCCAGGTCTCCTCCTCAGTGTGGAAGGACCTCTGCAGAATTTTGGGTGGAGGTGGCTCATGAGCAGGGAACACAAAAAGGAGGGACGGAGAGGCCTCGGTGTGCAACCTGATCGCCTCTAAGCCAGGAGCTAACAAGTTAGCCTGCCTGGGGCCTGGCAGAGGACAGGAGACGCCCAGGTCAGAAAGGAAACTGTCGTGAAGGGAGGCAGATTGCACCCCTTTTGTGTATGGAGCCTCAGCTCAATCAGATATTTTCTAAATTTGGGGGACAATTGTAGCTCAGCCAGCCTACCCAGGGGCTGAGCTCACTAAACAGAAAGGAGCAAACATTCGTGGGACAGATCCAGGTCTCCGTGTATCAGCAGCTCTGATTCTCTTCCAGCCTGACGTCACACCTGCGAGGCAGAGAACCCTGGCGCCTAGGCAGAGTGTGGGGACCTCAGAATACAAGTTGAATCTGAAAACCACAAACTTCTTACCCACGTTAATATGAGGAAGCAAAAAACCTCCTAGGTGGTGATTGTTCCCTTTGTTTACTGAGAACAATGACGTTGGACCTGGCTCTGGGACACGTGCACGTGAAAACTGCCACCCACAAAATGTGCCTGCCAGTGTCTTCCCTGGTGTGTGGGGGTCATTCATGGAGGGAAGGCAGGAGAGGGTGGAACACAGGGAGCAGAGAACCCAGGCGGCCCCTGTGCACTGCACAACTGGACAGACGCTGGGCGGGGCCCTCACACACACGTGCAGCCCCTCTGCGGATGTCGGGGCTAGAGGGGTCTTGGAGGGGGTTTCTGGCCCGTATCCGTGTGTCCTCCTGTTCCCAGGAGCAGCTCTAGGCCTCCCACTGTCAGCCTTGGTTCCTCCTCGAGACCAAGGAGAGCAGCTGGCCTTTTGGAGGCCCGCCTGTCGCACCACATTCTAGGAACTCAGGCCACCTGTGTGTCTTAAAGCAAATGGAGCAGAACAAGGTGTCTCTAGATGGCCGCGCGCCCCACGTGGGAGGCGCTTTAATGGGCAGCAGGGTTTGTGCCGTCCAGTCTTCCACCCCCAGCTCTCAGAAGGGACATTGGCATGGAATGGTGGGAAAGCCCAGTACTGAGTGCCCACCTCCTGGCCAGCAGACCGTCCACAGCCACGAGTCTCCCTGCTCAGCGGGCCTGTCCCACCAGCTCAGCCCCTCGGGGGAATGGAGTGTGAGTAGCCTGTGTGATCACTTTGGGAGGAGAGGGGCCGGGTGGGAGAAGCTCCCTGTCATGTGGACAGGCTCTCGGGGGCCCGGAGGCCCTGACTGTGACCGGCTCTGGAGCCAGTCTGCTTGGATGGCCTTTTAGGTACAGAATGTCGCACCCTGGGCCACGTGACCTGAGCTTTCTAGGCTTCATTTGCTCATCTGTAAAGTGGGTGTGTGAAGTTTCAGTGGAACCAACCT